AAATGTGTACAGTGTTATGGTAGAGCAACATATTTCACCACAAATATAGTTTTCTACTCTACATTTTCAGATAACATAATTTGTGTGTCTCTTCATAACCCACACAAATTTTAATTGAGCATCAATTAATTAATCCACAGATTATGATACTGTACATTATTTGAAGTTGGTCACAAAGATTACTACTTGAGTAAAAACGTCTGAGACACTTGAACACAGTTTTATAGTTTGTCTTATTTTTATGATATGTTTATTAGACTTCAAGGTACCTTATTCATCTATATAATAGATGCCAGGATTATCACTTGTAAAGCCTAGAGTGTCTGCTGAGTCAGTGTGAAGTAATGGAAATAACTACAAGTATGACAGAGTTCTTTGATTGGAATATCACTGGATTAAATCATCTCTGACGCTGTGGTCTCTTCAATCCAGTTTAAGTTCTCAGAAATTTCGAATTTATGAATTACATCTCTGTGACAGCACAAACTTTCAGCAATAGAGGGCATGTAACTATCCCATCCTGAAAGGACACTGTGATATCAGAGGTAATAGTCATCACCTTTACTTCGCAGCTAATTTGCATGCAAATACTTCATTAGTTGTATGCAAGACATTGCATAAATTATCGATTACTTAGCCCAAATGCCACATCTATGTGATTGTATGTACTTTTAGATATTAGTTTAAATATAATTACAGCCTATATCCGTTAGGGATGTAAACGACTAATCGACAACCCAATAAGCAAAAGCTTATCGAATAGTCGACATATTGGTTAACTAGTTGCTTCCCCCCCTTGCTGCCTCTATCACAAAGAGGCAGCAAAGGGGGGGAGAGGAGGAAAGAGGGGTGCTGGGGAGGGAGCCGGCTTAAAAGCTCCAGCTGTAGGACAGGGAAGGGCTCTTGTGCATTTCAAAGCAGAAGCACCCATATGCAGCTCGGGGGTCTGCAAGGGACTCCCTGCTGGCCCCAGGCTCCACGAGACATTTCAATCTTTGAAATGAACAACAGTCTCTGCCGACCCACCAAGCTCCAGGCGGCGTTTCCTTCAGCTCCAGCTCTTCGGGACAGGGCAGGGACTCTTTCAAAGCAGAAGCGACTGCATAGAGCCCAGGGTCAGCAGGGGACTCCAGCAGGGACTCTTGGACCTCAAATGTCAATACTAATCCCATCCTCCTTAAAAAAGCCAAACTGTTTTAAAATAATCTTTGGTTTTGCTGCTAAGAGTGTTATAGTTAAATATTGATACTGCTGAAAATCGACACCAGACAATATGAAGTAGTAAATAAAAAAACATTATTTCTCAAATCTAGTTTCTTCACAGCTTCAATCACTAAATTAGTCTATGGTGTCAAGAAGTGTTTCCTAACCCTACCAAGCTAATAGAAGGCAAATCACCAAACCAATACTAATATTATATGACAGATGACTCCATGCTCATGTTCAGCCAATGTAGTCAATGATCAAATTACCTGCAGGGTTTCATTTTTTGGAGTTCTTGAAAGTCTCTTTCTTGGAGTCGATTGAGGAGGATATTCAAACCTGTAAAATATTACATATAAGAAAATCTCTTTGCTAGCTTTGAAACTTACATAAACCCTTTCCAGCAACAATGTCATTATTTAATCGGTTAAAAATTGCACTAAGGCATAGTCGAGAATTTTTTCCATAGGTCTACTGTAATAATTGAGCCTACCCTAATTATGAGCTGAACTGTAAAGGGTATATGAAAGTTAGTAAGATATCACAATAACCTATCACAACTGTTCATGGGATACGGCATAAAAAGAAGATGAAAAGGCCAACTGACTATAAATCAACGACCATGTTATGATCAAGCGTAGTACACAAAAGGAACATGAATCAAAACTGGCATATAAGAACCTAAGCCTAACTGTTGGACAAAATAGTGCAGGAAGAACTATTGCACCCACCACTGCTTTTGGGGTCCTTAAAGAAATTTGGGGGGAAAACCTGGCTACAGGAAAAATCTTCATATCATTGCTGCTAATCCCACTGTTTTCAGGGACCTGCAGCATCTATCATGCTGATCCTGAGAGATATCCTGATCATACTAGGCCAGAGAGAGGGAACCAGATAATAACACCATCTCTACCAGATCCAACTAAAGCCCAACCATCACCTGAGATGAAACATAATAGTACAGCAGCAGCAACAGCTCCCAAATAACTTCTGGTTTCACCTCAAAGGACAATTATTGAAATCTAAGTCTAATATATCAAAGGGGATTTTCCTTTTAATATTTTTCTCCAGCTAACAGGAAAGGGAACAAGGAATGTTTTTAAAATGAAAGACTTACTGAGCATTCTATAATTCAAAGGTTTCAATTGTTTTTACTTTGTTTCTTTACCTTAATTAAAAGTTAAAAGGACTTTTAATGGAATGTTTGTCATCAAACTAAGCAAGCAGGAGTGTCCATATACCAAACTCAAAACCTCGTTTAACACGGTTTAATATTGGACCCTTCGACCCTTTAGCCCACATTCCACCTAAATTAAAAGAATACATCCAATCTTAAGAGAAAGTCACATCTGGATATCAAGACAATACTGTCACAAATGGCTTATTGGGTAAATAGTTTCAAGGTGACACAATGCTTTAACAGCCCATATTTCTTATGCAAAAATTCTAAGGAATATGAAATATGAACTTAGATTAAAATTTTAGAGTAAGAAAAAAATGTGTCAACCTCAAAGGGGGAAAAGATACCCTCTTTGGCTCTGATATCACAATGAGATATGGCTGGGTGGATTCCTATGTCCATAGGGAGCACCACTAAAAATCAGAGCTCCTTAAAATAGAATTATGTTTTTGCAGATTTACTGCACAACCAATGTCATAGCTGCTTGCCTTCTCTTCATTGTTACTGACCTGAAAGAACGATCAACAATAGTGAACACATCTCCATGTTTCAGATGTACAGGTTGCTGAAAACTGTTACCATTCAAATGTGTTGGATTTAGAGTACTTAAATTAAATAAGATTGCCTACAAATGAAACAAAAATAAGTCAGTAACCTGAAGAGATGAAATGATGTAATAATAAAATTAAAACCAAAGACAACTTACTTCCTTATTCTCATTGACTTCAATTTTACAATGTTCTTTTGAGACTTGAGGCAGCTGTATGCGGATATCACACTCTGTTTTCCTTTGGTTGAAAAGCACAACTTTAGTTTAAGCAAATAATTAAAGAAAATAGAAACATTTTATTTTAGAGAATTTGCTTCTGACTTACATACCTGTGCACTTGATCATTTAATATTCGCAAAAACGACATGAAGAACAGTATCTAAATGTTTTATATTGCATTTTCAAAAAGCCAGCACAAGAACTGAGAAAACCTAAAGCAAATTTTAAACTAAAGATATACTATGAAAATGTCCAGATTCTTAACTAAGAATTAGCTGGACAAAGACAATTTTAATCTTTCACCACCACAAAGGCACTGTTGTAGCTCCACTATTGCTAGTAACAGTGAAAAATTTTCCAACCCCGCCCTCCCCGCATACAAAAACGAAGCTAACTAAAATTAGCTAAGTTATAGAAGACCCCTCTTTTAAAAGTTGCTTTATAGGCAAATATTTAATCTAACTTGATAGCTTTAGTGAATAATCTTCTGTTATGTAGTTACACACACACACACACACACATATATCTAGCTTATCAGAGTATTATTTTTAGATAACAGGATTGACATCATTAGGACTTAATTCATGGATAAAACACAAGAGAAAAGAAAGCAACACACTAGCTAAACTGCTTAGATACTTTGAGGGTCTTATTGTTTTTGGTGCTAATATCTAAAGCAGTCAAAGAACCAGTTTTAAAATTGGTAAAAAAGGACGAGAAAAAAATAGATGGCAGAGAAAGAAGCCTGAAATCTAACATGTGGAACTAAGAAATACATGTATCTATTCTGGCTCATATTAAGGATATTAAAAATCATTTTTCTTGTAAATGTGTAACTGCTAAAATTTTCAGCGGTTACATATTTATATGCAAGGGGGGAGGCAGCTCTGTGAGAGCTGAGCTGACTTTTAAGCCGGTTTCCCTGGAGCACCAGCTCCTGCGGAGCCACCTTGCCCTTGCCCCGCTGCCTGATATAGAGGCAACAGCGCAGGGGACCAGGTGGTAGTGGCTACACATCAGAGGCAGCAGCAAAGTGTAGGGGTGTTGTGTGGAACTATGCAGGTTAACCAGTGAGCCCAGACTCCCTGATTAATCATTTAAGCTGTCACATCCCTTTATCATAAAGTCAACTGTTTACTAAATTCCAGTTGCAGGGCCAAATTTGAAGTCAGAAGCAAACTGCTTATAAATTCTTTCTTGCTGTTAATACATACAACAAAAATAATACAACTTGAATTTCAGAGTGAATTTGGAGTCCTGGAAGATTTACCTATAAATATTTGGTACAAACTAAATGTTAGGAAACTTTAAAATTGTAGGCCATCTCACAATTGGATCTGTACTAGTACACTGAAGCCATTGGGGTCCACGTGCAGAGAGGACTCTTCCAGTGGATTTGACCACAGGACTCAGATCTTATATAAGGCTCCCAGATATGGCACTGCAATAAAAGCCTACAGCCCACCAGCAACTGGTTCAGGTCAGCTGACTCTGGCGAGGGGGCTATAAAATTGCGTTGTAGACAATCATTCTTAGGCTAGAGCGTGGGGGGAGGGAGAGGGAGGCGGGGAGGCAATTTTTGATGGGAGCACACTCCAAGAATTTGGTAAGTGGTCAAGGGCCTCATTTTTCCATATTACTGGAGAAGGTGTGGGGTCTGATAGAGGTTGGGTGCAGAAGGGAGTTCAGGGTACAGGAATGCAGCAGGGAGTGTTTAGGAGAAGTTTAGGTGAAGAGGATTGTGACCTTGGGCAGGGGTTTGGGTTGTGATCTGGGGCAGGGCGTTGGGGTACAGGGTCTGGGAGGGAATGTATGGAAGCATGAGCAGGGATGCAGAGGTTTGGGTTGTGACCTGGGATACGGGTACAGGAGGGGGAGCAGAAGGTTGGGGGAAAGGCTGGGGTAGCAGGTGCAGGCTCTGTCCAGGAGGTGCTTAACTAGGTGGCTCCTGGCCAACAGCCAAGGGAGAATCTTGGGCAGGCTCCCAGCCTTTCATACCCCCCAACACAGTTCAAAGTGGCCAACTGCAGGGGCCATGTGTTCTCTGATCGCCACAAGCCTCCGGGGGTAGAGGGGGTCTCCATTAAGTGCTGACTGTGCTGCAAGCACAGCCCAGTCAGCTTTCATTGGCTCGAACTGCAAGATTGTGCTGGGGGCGTACACAAAGCCCCACCATCCAGGAGCTCGCAGAGCACATGGTCACTACAACCTGCTGCTTTGAGCCTGTGTGTGGAAGGCAGAGAGCCTGTCTGAAGCTCCTGCTGTGTCACAGGCCAGGATTTGGCTTATGGGCCACATTTTGTCTGCCCCTGGGCTCTGAGACCCCCCATGAGGATCTACAAGCAAAGGTTCCAGTTAGCTGTAATCCCAACCCTGCCTCCTATCCCCTCCATTGGGCCAAGGATGTTGCCGGACCAGAGAGTCCCGGTTTATAGAGATGCAACCTGTAGTAAGAACAAAATATTAATAACATGTTCTCTTGATGTACACTAATATATTTCTAACCTTACTACTTCTTACCTTCCAAATAAACAAGAACTTGCAGTGAGTGGAAAATGGATTCCATCGGTCCCATTCCGTTTAATAACAATAATTTTTCCAAACAACGGCATCTTTGAAATTGAGGGTCTTACCTGTAAAGGAATATAAAAATATACTATCTGAAAATAAGCTCTACCTATTTATGAACATAGTTTACATAACCAAAGTACCTCTATTCAAAACATATTTTCTACAGTTTACATGCAGAAGGATCCCAAAGCTTTTTTTCCACTCAGGAGTTTGTGGGAACTGTTAAATATTAATACAGGCTGTGCCTATGTACATTGAAAGTGAAACATGACTTGTGTTTGGCTGGAGGAATTACTCCTGGGAACATTCTGTGGGGGTAGGAGGGATACCTCAGTGGTTTGAGCATTGGCCTACTAAACCCATGGTTGTGAGTTCAACCCTTGCAGAGGCCATTTAGGGATTTGGGGTAAAAATTTGTCAGGGATAGTACTTGGTCCTGCTATGAAGACAGGGGCCTGGACTTGATGACCTTTCAAGGTCCTTTCCAGTTCTAGGAGATAAGCAATTTCCATTAATTTATAAATGTGTTTATTTTACACACACAGAATTCATGGCTGTGCAGAATCCCAGCCCCCTTACAATCACACAGGAAAAGCAGTCAGTAAGCATCACACAGGAAAAGCAGTCCGTAAGCAGCTGCAGATACTGCTTTCACTCACAAGGGGCTGCTGTGGTGCCAAAACAGAAATGAGTCCCAGTAGAACAGAGAGGGGAAAAGAGGATGCCTTCCTCACAGCACCCTGTCCATGGGGCCAGGCCAGGTGGCATGTGTAGTTATAGGAAGGTTGATAACATAGGACAAATGGGACTGCTGAAGGAGTCACAGACTGGATTTCAGAAGGGCTAGTGGAAGCTATTGAAGCAGGAGCTGAATTCAAAGGGGCTGCCCCACGCAGCTGAGCCTGGGACTAACCGTGCAGCACTGCCACAGAACCTGGGACCAGCTGATCCCAGGTTCCACTGAAATGCCACATGGAGCCCGGGTCAGCTGGGTACTCCTCAGCTGACTGTGGGTTCCGTGCAGCATTTCCCCAGAACCCAGGGTCAGCTGAGGACTCCTCAGCTGACTCCGGATTCCGCAGAAATGTGGGGCTCCACTCACAGCAGCGCCGCACAGTTGATCCCGGGCTCAGCTATGCAACACTGCCACTTTGAAGTACTCCCTCTTCCCCCTTTGGTTACCTATATCGGATAGAGGGAGCAGGGAGGGGGGAATCAACTAGTTGACTATCCGATAAGCATTTGCTTATCGGATATTCGACTAGTCCTTAACATCCTTACTTCAGTCCCCACACATGACGTTTCCCGTTTCTACCTCCCCTGCCACCCACAGAGATGGTGCTGGGGAGACACTGGCTTCCATCACCAGCTCTCCCCCTTCCCCTTGCTGCCACTCTCTGATAGAGAGGAGTCTCTCTACAATAGGAAACTCTTTCAAATAAAAGCATATTTTTAAAATTGTGCCCGTGTAAAGTTGCATGTACTACAAAAGCAGCTCTGACAAATATCAATCATTTGAAAAGAATGACTGCTTAACATGAAATTAATATTAATACAATTTTAAGCATTAAAATTCACAGCACATGGAGTCTATTTCGAGCAGACAAGAGGAGAAAACCCTCTAGATTTTTTTTTTATTTCACGCTATTGTGGCATACCACTGAAAGGATAAATTCATTAATTTTTTTTTAAATCAAGTCTCCCTTCGACATCCCTCTTACAAAAAACACCTTACTTTGTTTAAACAGAAAGAATTACATAAGACCATTTACTTTCCCCCCATCATTTACACTTTTTTATTTCCCTCCTTACAAAGACAAGACTACAGGTCATTTTAGTTGATTTTGATCAATTTTAGATTTATGCACCGGTACAAACTGCAATATTACAATTGAAAACAAGAAATTAATTTTGTTAAAAGTACTCATCTTTCCCTTCTTTGTAAACATTAATTCTGTTTGATCTAATTTTATGTACTATTGTTTTTTAAAATGTCCAAAATACTGTGCCCAATTTGATAGTGTCCCTTTGACAACATGTTCATATTTGTGCTGTTCGAATTTAAATGACACTTCTTATCCAAATTGCCCTCCAACTTGAGAATTCAGGCCTACTGCAAGCATAAAATAAAATGTCACCTCACCTGTACAGTTTTCTAAACTAATTCATCATTTGAAAGCAATATTCTCAGAGCATTGTGGACAACAACTTGGTGTTAGACATAAAAACGAGACACTAGGAGAAGGAATTATACGTCACACAGCAAGACGTTTTCAGACCAATTGGAGGAGAACCGCTAGACTAGAGAAAATAACAAATCAGCTTGGGCTGTGCTTGAAATAGAACAGTGAATGATAATTAATACTTGAGCCACCTACCAACAAGCTACAATATTCACATGTCCCATATTATTCAATCAGGTGGACCCCTCCTCTGAAAACTGCACAACCCCTCCCCGCCTATTCCGAACGGGCAGCCGGTCTACCGTCCTCCGAAACAACACAGCGCAGCCTCGCCTCCCGCCCCCCCTGTTTCCCCCCCCCCCCCAACC